TACCATCTTCCCTTTAAGGCACAACATTGATATATTTGGTGTAGGGAGATTTTGATGACCTATCATTCTTCCTAGAACAGAGTTAGAAAAGTGAGAAAAGTCAGTGTTACTTAGGATATTCTGAGATTCTAAGGCCATAGTAACAAATTACTAAATGATTATTATGAGAATCTACTAGTACATTAATTTGATATTTTTCTTTACTTTTTTCTTGCAGCAGAAAAGCTCATCTAAGAAGACACCTCAATGCTGTTATTCAAAATGATTAAACCAGAAAGAATGAAGGCCCTCTTTTCCCGAATTTTCATTTAACTAAAACAATGAGACTAAAAAGTGTTTCTTTTTAAAAATGTTTAGTTTTCATTTTTAATCAGTAATATATTGTAATGCTTTTTTAACTAACAAGAGAAAAAGCTTAACAAAGCATCCATCGAGAAGATGTATTACCACGTTGCCTCTGTCTACCTCACACTCTACTCCTCCATGGTCAACCACTCACATTCACTGCTGGCATTATTTCCTTTTTTTCTTATATAAAATGTGACATACATTTAGGCTCTTCTGCACCTTGAATTTCTCACCTGACAATATTCCCTGGAGCTCTTTCTTTCTTAGTGCATCTCATGCTTCCTCATTGTCTTTATACAGCTACCTAATATTCCACCTGTGCATGTACCACAGTTTATCTAACACTCCTCTGCTGATAGATACCTGGATTGTTTCCAATGTTTTGCTTTTACAAACAAAGCAATAGTAAATAACCTTGTGCAGAAATAATTTTGATGTGTGCAGATTTGTCAGTAAGATGCATTCTCAGAAGTAAGGTTGCTGGGTCAAAGGATAAATACATCTGTAGCTATTAAAAATATTGCTAAAATGTCCTTCATGGGGGCTGTATCATTGTGTCCTCCAGCTAACAACGTATAAGAGTACCTATTATCCCATGGCCTTGGAAGGACACTGTTGCTCAGCTTTTTTATTGTTGCCAAGCTGATCATTGAAAAAATAATGTCTGTTACTATAGCATGGTTTTAATTTACAGAGATATCATGCTATTTTGAGTAATGCAAGTGGTTTCTTGGGACATGCACATATGTGTATTAATGTAATCTCTCTCTATACCCCACACTGTCCTGAGGTCTCAGGCCATAAAATCAGTGCTGTAAGTGGAACCATGTCAATGAGGCTTCCAGGATTTATATTGTTGACCCTTCAGTATGAAGTAGTAGATGTGATGGCAAGAGCCTTTGAACACAGCCAGGAGAAAAATTCAGGAGCAAGGAGCCGAGTCCTGGATTTGCCAGTAACTGAATACTTTCTTTGAGCCAGTCATTGACTCACTAGCGGTTCCGTATCCTCATGTGGTAGGAGTATCAGTAAGCAGAATAATAGAAAAGGAGAGAAAGCTTTAATGACTGCTGCTGAGGAAGGAAGAGTATGCGAGAAGACACCAATTTAAAGGAGCAAAAATATGCCTGGCTGATACCATCAGTGGGACATACTGGACTAGTAAAAATCTAGGGAATGAAATGGACATACTCTGGAGTCAATTTTAGTTCCATTGTGGTGAGATAGTCCAATGAACTCATGTTGTGTCTAGCCATCTTGAAATGAAAAAGGGACTGGTATTTGTAAACATTCAACTTCAAAACTGATGATTGGATACAAATAAAGTTTATTTTATTTTGGAGATCATGCACATCTTATGACCATAATTTGAGTTAAATTTAAATTCTAAATTATTCTCCTTAAAAATTATATGTTAAGTGTCTGGTCATTGATGTTTATTAAATAATTATTCACTGGTTGCCAAATTTTTAATATATTTGGGCCACATTTATAAGGGACATATTTCTGAAACACAGCTGAATGTAGAGTATGATTGTACTTTATTCGAAAACTTATTTGCTTATTGGTAACTTGTATAAAATAACATCACAGAGACTACACACTAAAAACCATAGTCTTCAGACCCATCCTATCTAGATTGTAGAATTAAAAGTAATTTTATTTTTTCTTACTTACAGGTATTTCTGTCTTTTTCTACAATGGTTATTTGTTATCTTTGAAAGTATTTTTACAAAATCAAGAAAAAATACCTTGAGGTTTAAAATGGAGCCTAGGGTAGTTTCACTGTTAAAAGTTCAGTGGAAGAAGCTCTCATGTCTAGTCAACGCTCTTAAACCAACCGGAGGCATTTTAGATGAAATAGAATAACAATTGCTGGGTGCTTCGTCCTTTATTAGGGAACTATTTGAGCACTTTTACAGTAGTGTCCTTTCCTCGTTTTACATTTCTTATTTGAACACAAAATCACAAAGCTTGAAGGTGAAAAGCCTTGCAGTATACCTATTTGTGTGTAAACACAATTTTTCAACTGCTTTCTTTTATGCTTCTCATAATTTCCAACAGCTATAATAGGCCGTAGTTCCATTTTCTATTGGATTATAATGGTTATTTTCACAGGACACTGTTCACAGTATCTTCTTAACTGGTCTCTGGACAATCCATCTGATATATGACCAGAGTAATATATTCCTAAAACACCATGTTCATTATGTAACCTTCCTGTTTAAAAACCTTCAATAGTTTCTGTTATTTATAGTCATCATTTTTAAGTTTTTAAATAGTAGCACACTTCCCCCTGCCACAGGAAACCTTGTGTGGAATACCAGAAAAAAATAGGCGAAGGTAGTATTTTATAGAACTTATGATAAAGTCAATCAGTAAAAACCAGGAGGTTATTTTGATGCACACAAAGAGGACTTTGACTGTTATGGTTGACCCTGAAAGTCTTTAGCTTTCAAAATATTTCTGTATTTTATTCTGGTTGCACAGATCTGAGAAAAATCACAATTTATAAAAACAAGTAGTTGCTGTTAATAAAAGTCTTTTTAACAGCTGGGCTTACAATCACAATGAATCATAAAACTACATCAAAAGTTGACTCCAAGATTTGCGGTGAAAGTGAATGCGTTGGTGGAAGTCACTGGGTTGACATACATCACACGTTCGAATGTGGATGCTGGTTTCTTTGTCTGTTTCCTTGTTTCTTTCAGCTGCATGCCTTGAAATTCAGAAAAAAATGTTTTTAAATTATTAAAGATCAGGTTTCTTCAAAAGACCTTCTTAGTTCATGGAAGGATTTTCACCAAATGAGAATTGCCTGGTTCTTTGTACTTTAAAAGTAGGCATTCTTTTTCCCCTCTTGATCCTATGTCGTTGGCCATCTTTTTCCATAAAAGTACCAGCTTTGTCCGCCCTGAAAGTCTGCTGAGTTGGGGAACATTTGTCTTTGTTGATCTCTACAAGTATAAGGAATGGTTTTTGTGTTATTCACACTCTTCCCATTTTGCTATTGTGCAGATTTCAGTGGGGCCTTGAACATATGGAAATATATCTTTCATCGAAATTTCCAAGACCACCCTTTTCACTGTGCTTACCTGGCCTTCAAATTCCCCAAATCTGGTCATCATCTCCTGAACAAACATTAGGCTAACAGATGGAAAGCTGTGAGATTGCTCCTTTAGCCTCAGATGTCTTTTTTGCATTGTGTCATTTGTATACGTCGCTTGCTGATTATTGTCAATCACAGAGGCAAAGCAGTTTTTACATGTTGTATATTTCACTCTTACTTCCTCAGAACCTATCCTCCTAATGATTTATCCCATATGCACAAATGCAAGTGCATTTTCATATCACTTTCATTTTTTTAATTATTTTTACTTTTTGTCTTAATCATCTGTCACTTTTTGTTACTCTTTTTAACACATACGGTTTTTTGCTCTTGCTGGTTGTGACAAGGTAACTACCGACTGAGCATATTAAAACTAAAGGCATTCAGCAAATACACAGTAAACTCACATGGACGGTAGTCCACGCCAAAGTGAACAGCATAGCTATTGTCACTGTCTGTTGGCGACAGGCAAAACAGACTCACTGCTGCTCCAGAGAGCAGCTCCTTGTGCACCTATGGCAGATTGGAAGTTGCCAGTTTATAAGTTGAATTTTCGTAAGGAATTTCTGTCATTAGCAAGCACACTTTCAAAATCAATTCGAATCAAACATTAGCAGACTATCGAAAAGGTTAGCAAACTGATCCTGTAAAGGACGAGACAGTAAATATTTTACACTGTGCCAGTATTTGGGTCTCAGTTGTGACAACTCAACTTTGTGTAGCACAAAAACAGCCATGGATGATATGTAAACAAATTGGCGTGGTTGTGGTCTAACAAAACTTTATTTACAGAAACAAGCAGTGGGCCAGATGTGGCCCACAGGCTGCAGTTGCTAACCCCTATCGGGCAGCATAAGCGATTCTTGTTTGTGTGACTCAGTGTACATTAATAAATAAGTAATCACTGTGGTCGATCAAAGATGGCAGCGAATCATTTGCTACTTCTCTCACTGACGAGTGGAGTCCAACACCGCGCCCCTTGAGTTGCGCTGTTTTTAGTGACTCGTGTGACTAACAGAAGGCCGCCCGAGTGACATCCTGGGATTTCCTCCTGGGCCTCTCCGCATGCTCGTTTTAGGGAAGCCAGTAACCTGTGACAAGGCTGGCAACCCTGACACGGCTATGTGGCGGATGGGCGCACGACACGTGACAAGGCCCTGGGTGGGGGGAGGACCGATCAGGAGCATGGGCATAAAAAAGTTATTGGGGGCGGATGGCCCGCTAGATGAGTCTCTCCAACTACAGCCAAGGTGACTAGAAATAAGGCACCCGACTACATGATATTCAAATTGAAAACCGGCCCAAATAAACGTTTTTGTCATTTTCAGCCATCACATTTCAGGGTGATGTAGTGAATTTGAGATGTTCGGGACTAAGGAAGGAAAAAAACAGACCGTGCGGCGGCACCAGTGCACCGTGAGTTTCATCTGGGTGGTGCCTGACCACTGGAGGAGGAGTCACGGCAAGATGCCTTCCAGAGACAGTGACCTGCGACCGCGCCCGGAAGGGGAAGAAGATACAGAGAGCAAGCTTACGGGTTTAGATGATGTTGTCAGCAGCTCCCTCTGTGGGCAGTTTGGGGTCCTGGACTTGTCTCATGCATGGCCAGCAGATACTGAGTGCAGCTTATAAGGTATGCAAAACAAGCAGCCTCTAAACAGGCAAAAATATGCTATTTGGGCTCTATTTTTAAAAATTTGATGTGGAAATGTTTGAGTTAGTGCTAGCGGGCTGTAATCTAACAGATTACTGTGATGAAATAAACAACAGGGGGGCCGATATAGAGGGACCATCTTTGGCTCCGTAACAGGTGGTTTATTATGCAGTGATAAGTAGACCAATCCCGCAGCCATGTTACAGTGCAGTCTTTTCAGGTACCTATATTTTGTTCAATTAGATTCCACGATTTTTTTTTTCAGCAAACAGTACAGATCCTAAATGTCTCGTATTCTGCACAGGATTCAACCCAGTGCTTTACTAACAGTTGCTAGGTGATAAATATTTCTTAAATAATGCACAGATATTTTCATGGCCAGAGAAGTCACTATCATGATTGGTAGGCACAAAAAGACAGGTCTATTGACATGCAAAAAATGCAAATATTCTGGAGTCAGTGAAAGAGGGCACTTTCTGTAAATATTTGAGAAGAGATGTGGAATTTATCTTTAGCTCTGTTGATCAAATCATATCCTTTGGACTCCACTTTACTCTTATTTTCTGAGTTACACATGCTTTGAAGAACATGATTAAAACATGCTGATGAGCCAAATAACGTTTCTCAGTCCCATTTGCCATCCTGGCCATACTGTAACTGGCATTAATTGGTGCATTCATTCTATTAATTAGTAGATATAATCCCCAAAGATGTTGATGAACCAGTTTTGTTTACTAGCAATGTGCCACCCAGACTCATATCTACTTGATCAATGTGGGTTAAGGAAAATTATACACAAATTATTTATTGAACTATCATTATGGACAGAAAGCTATATTAGGTACCTCACAGGCCATCACCGTGAATAAGAAAAAAGGCCTGCCTTCAAAGGGGTTAAATGTGAAAGGAGAGCTAGGATTCATATGAAATCCTAGGTTAGGAAGAATAAAATACGTGTCATAGAAGAAAAAGAAATGTGGGGTTTTGGTAGATAGAGAAATCAGAGCTGACTTATTCATCAGGAAAGTCTCAAAGAAAAAGAGAATTTTAGGAGGGGTTTTATAGAGAGATAACTTTCGAGTAGCTAATTTGAATAAGTTTTTATTATTTTCTAACCAAGTACTGCTTAAAGTTAGACAAAAGACCTAGAGGAATTTGAAATAAAGTATGTCAGACTGCTCTTGAAAAATAAAGAATAATGGGGGAGATTTCTGCAGGCCCTGGAAAACAGTGAGCATGTACAGACCACAGACTGGACCAGCCCCGTAACAGCGTTGTCCGGACAGCAAAACCAGTCAGAGAAGAGAGAGAACCTGTGTGTGTGGTGTGTGTGTGAGTGTGAAAGACAAAGTGCCAAAGATAAGCTGGTCTTGGATGAGGTATTTTGCACTTCATTTGAGAGACAATAGGGACTCATGGAAGGTTTCTGAGCAAGGGAGTGATGTCATTAAAGTTGGATCTTTAAAAAATTTTTTTTTCATTTTTTAATTTTAGAGAGAGAGAAGATAGAAGAGAGAAAGAAAGAGAAACATCAATTTGTTATTTCACTTACTTATCCATTCATTGGTCGAATTCTTGTATGTGCCGTGACTGGGGATCAAACCTGCAACCTTGGTGTATCAGGATGATGTTCTAACCAGCTGAGTTACCCAGCCAGGGCTAAAGTTGGGCTTTTTGAAGATCAGCCTGGTGGGAGGGAATCAGGAAACTGGGTACGGAGGTTTGCTAGGAAGATAGTGTTGAAGTTATTACAATAGTTTCACTGAAGAGATGAAAGATCATGATGGTTTAAACCACAGTTAACAGCCAGAGACAGGGAACATTGGGGATAACTATGATCCACATTGTTTTAACTGGAACTCTTTGGGGAGCTAGAAGGAGACAGCCATTCAAGCTAGCTAAAGCTAAAATCCGTGGGAGTATTTTATGGCATAAGGTCTTTTCATGAGAATTCAAAAAGAGAGCTCTAATTCAGATACATCTTCCAGAAATTGACATTGGAAACCCACACTGCATCATGCCCCAAGGCTGCTTTGCACAGGTCTGAGGACATGCCTCACTGCTTGCCTCTCTCCACAGGCTTCCTCCTTTTTCTGTGCCCTCTGGACCATCTTCCTATACTTGGGATCTCCAGCTCATAACTTGAACTTGTACATTTGCCTCAGAATTCTACAGCTCTGACTTGATCACGTAAGCCGTCAGCCATAACCTCTCCAGCTAAATCACAAGTCTCTCAGCTTCCTAGTTCTAAAATCCCTGCAAGCAACAGCTGATTGGTCCAGATGGTCTTTTCTCTTCAAATTACTGGTCAGCTGTGGATGGCCTGTCCTTGATGTGGGTGGACAATATGTCTTAAACAGCTGAGGTCCGTGCCAGGGTGGAGTCAGTACCAGGTACATGATATGGAACACAGCAGTCTAGGCCTGCCCCTTTTTCTCCAGAGATGGTGATGAATTAGGAAGAAAGGGCCAGATACCTCATAACAGACCTCATCAATTGTGGCTCACAACTGTTTACGTGGAAGTTCAGAATCCAAGCCTTGACATCTGAAAGAAAAGTAGTATCTTCAGCCAAAATAAAGATGCGGGGGGGGGGGGGTGGGCAGTGAACTATGATGAATTACATTGTTGCTCTTCAGAGAATAAGTTGAAGATATTATCTGCCTGGATTTTCTTGTAAATGGACAGAGAGAATTCCTAAGGCAAGACTAAATTATAAATGAGGATCTTTGCAAACTTCTTCCTTTTGGAATATAGCTAAACAGTGGATGAAAAGGTTACCTGTTAAATAAATTTCAAATGTGAATAAATAAAATCTACTTTATTGCTAAATAACTTCAGGTAAATGATGCCCTGTCTTCTGAGCCTATTAACCTCAGAAGGTTTGGTCATAGCACAGTAAATGACAAATAGTGCTGACCACATCTTTGAACTTCTAGTATGTCAATAATAGCATTATTCAGGCACCTTTTAGGTCAAAGGAGTGAATTAAATTTACAAGAGGTAAACCTTTGCTTTATTGCTGAACTGTCACAATTCTGGATACCTTGACCTGAAAGATGAGGTAATAGAATGAGAAACTGGGCATGGAGTAGACTTTATCTTTAACGCATTGTTCGAAGACGTCATCGTACTGTGGACGGATGATACTTCTAATGTGCACAGCTATTTCTCGCTGTCATACCATCTGATTGAACATTACTAGAGAGGGAACACTCAAATCACAATAAAGGAGTCCAGTAAGTTTTCTCATTATTCTCATCACTGGAAATGTCTTCCTTTCAGTGAGTCAAATTCTGCCTCCAGTAACTACACTCTCTGATCCTCATTCTTTCCTCTGAAGCTACACAGAATAGAAGTAATTTTCTCCAGCCATTTGTTATTGGACATTACTTTTGATTCCCCCACCATCTCCTTACTCTTCTGGATAGACTGATGGCTACTAGTTTTTTGGTTGGTTTTTTTTTTAGCTTTACCACTTTATGTTTATTTATTTATTTTTTTGATGGCTACTAGTTTTGCCGATTTCTTAACGTGGTCTGAAGATAGGATTCAAAAAGTATATACCAACACAATGACCTCGCTAGCATCAGATAACTCGAGTGTTAGGAAAACTTGGGGATAAATTTTCTTTTTAAAAGTTATATTTTGAAAAAGCCACCACATATTTGATCAAAAAATTATAATGATGATAATGACACCTAAAACATATGTAGATTTCCAGAATTTCCAAGGCTCTTTCTTAGTTGGGATTTCTCCCCAATCCCTATTTATACTAGCAATACTAGTTTTATTCCTGATGTTAACTCCTCAGGATCCAAATAAAAGTAGACAGCTACTATCTGTTCTTTGATATAACAACAGAAAAAAGAAAACATTCTACTTATCAATACTAACCTGATCCTCTCTTGAATATCTCTAAAAATCTACTGTTAAGTTGATTTTTGAATGTGTAATGCACACACATAGTACAAAATTCAAAAGATACCACATAACATATAATAAACAATAACCCTCCCTGCGACCCAAACCCCCAACCTCCCAGCAATGCCCCAAAGGCTTTGACTGATACGAAGTTTCTTTTGCAGACTTCCAGGGATATTCTATAACTAGATGATATATATAAATATAAACTAACTTTTTGTGCATAAATTATAACAGTATATCTTGGAGATCATTTTGTGAAAACATGAAATTTCTCCATTCTGTTAAAATATCCATTGTGCTCTGGTATTACTATTTAATAGTCTACCTTTGTGAAACATTTTGGTTGTTTTCAGTCTTTTTCTAGTAAAAACAGTGCTGCGGTGAATATTTGTATACACAACAGGTTCATGCAGAATGTTTTGTTCAGTGGTTTTTGTTGTAATGTTGGTGAGATGCCATAGTAGCTTAACTCTTGCTTATGTCATTAGCTTATTTTAAAATTGGTTTCATTATACATTATTTCAGTTAAAGTCAGTGAGAACTTAATGTATTTTTCATTAATATGCATATATATACCTATAAAATTAATTACAAGAAATGATTATGATATATCAAATAGCATATAAACTGTTTGTTGGTTGGTAGGCACTACATTGTTTCTTTATTTTCTAGTGAATTGCACACACATTTTTTAATTTAAAAGATGCCAGAGACTCCAAAGAATCTTTACAACAGTGTGTGAACTTCTCCACATACAGTACTTGCCAAAATAGCATATTACGAAATTTGTTGATCTTGGACAGCATAAGGGTGAAATACAGTGAGACACAACTCATTTTCATTTTAACCTTGGCAATTTTGTAGTAGTGATGTTGAACATCTTTTTAAACGTTTAACAGTTGTAAGCACTTTCTTTTTCATTACTGAACAGTTTGTATCTGTTTTCTGTTGAGCTGAAAGTCTTTTTAAAAGATTCATTTGAAGCACTTATATGTGAAGCTATTAACATTCAGTCCAGAATACGACACAAATATTTTGTCTCAGTTTTAGGTATCTTTAGCCAAAGAATTTTTTAGCATGCAGATTTTTAAAATATATTTAAAGTTAGAAAAGGTTTCTGTGAGTTTACATAAAAGCCTTTCCAGTTTTTACAATAATGTTACATTTTTAATTTATGAGTTTTTGATCCATCTGCATTTATTTTGATGTAGGAATGAGGTGAAAATCAGCTTTATTTTTTCAGATATTCAATTAACCTAGAATTACTTATCGAACATTCTGTTTTTCCCCAGTGATGTGAAATACCACCGTTGTCATTTACTAAGTTTTATTTGGGGATCCTATTTATAAACCCACTCATTTCACTGGTCTATTTATACATGCGTGTGCCACTACACCACCATTTCAATTATTATAATTGATGGGGCTAACCTTCCCCCATGGCTGAATTTTTTTTTCACAGAACTTTTCTAATTATTCATGCAGGCTTATTTTCACATGTGATGTTTACAAGCTTTTTTAGTTTTAAAAAATCTATTGGAATGTTATTGGGATCATGATAAAATAATAGGTTACTTCAGGTACAATAGAGACAGTTATAATGTACCTATTCTCTTTAAGACTACAATGTAGCTTGTGCATATTTATGTATTTTTCTTTTAGTAGCATTTTAAACTTGCCCTTACAGAGTTTTACACATTTTTTATTGTTTAGTCTCAAGTATTCAATTCTTTTGTTGCTATTACAGTTTCTCTTTTACATTTCAAAATGGCTACTCTTTGTATATACCATAATGTGTTGCTTAATGACAGAGATACGTTCCAAGAAATGCATCATTAGGTGAATTTGTCCTTGTGTAAACATCACAGAGTGCACTTACTCAAACCTGGATAGGGTACAGCCTGCTACACCTCTAGCTAGATTGCTCCTAGGCAACTGACCGGCACGGTATATTACTGTACTGAATACTGAAGGCAATTGTAACACAAAGGTGTTTGTGTATCTGAGTATATCCAAAAATAGAAATGCTACAATAAAAAATATGGTATAAGAGATTTTTTTAAATGATAGCACCCGTATAGAGCACTTACCGTAAATGGAGCTTGTAGTACTGGAAGTTGCTCCGGGTGAGTCAGTGAGTGAGCAGGGAGCAACCGCGAAGACCTGGGACGTTGCTGCACACTCGGTGTGGCCCCTTAACTGGCAACATTCGCAGTGGATTTTACAGGCTGAAGGGCCATGATGAACAACACAGAAGTAAATCAAGCGCAGGAGAAAGTGATGCAATCCAGGGAGGAGGTGAATGCGAGATGCCTGAGGCTGCCGCCCGGGGAACAGGACGTACTGCTTTACAACAAATGTTTTTATAAGCAGAAATAACAATGAAAAATATAATAAACAAACCAGTAGTTGTTTATTATCATTAGCAAGTATTAGGTACTGTTTGTACATAATTATATGTGCTGTACTTTTCTATGACTGGCAGTGCCATAGGTTTGTTTACGCCAGAATCGCCACAAACACATGAGTAATTCACTGCACTGTGACGTCATGACAGCTGTGAAGTCACTAGGTCCATCGGTGACTGAGATGTCATTCTGCAGCACGTGACTGTGAAGAGAGTACATCCCAGTGACTTTACTAAATTATCTCAAGTCAAGAATTTTAAATGTACCTAGTAGTATTTTAGTAAAAACTTTTATCATAAGTAAATATTAGTATTTTATCAAATATATTTTCAGCATCTGTGAAGATGAGTACATTATTTTTCTTATTAGATTTATTAACAGTGAAATGTTATTAGAGTTGTTAATGCTGAAACGTTTTTGCATTTCTAATATGTACTTAATCTAGTCAAGACTTACTATTATTATTTTAAAATATGATATTTTTTACTTATTTCTTAGAATTTTAAAAATAATTCTCATAAGTAAAATAAACTTCTGTTTTCTGTTTTTTATAGTATCTGTCAGGTTTGGGTTATAATATTATTCTTGTTCTTTAAAAATAATTTTGAGCCCTGGCTGGTGTAGCTCAGTGAATTGAGCATGGGCTGCAAACCAAAGGGTCGCTGGTTCAACTCCCAGTCAGGGCACATGCCTAGGTTGCAGGCCAGGTCCCCAGTGGGGGCCACATGAGAGGCAACCACACACTGATATTTCTCTAACTCTCTTTCTCCTTCTCTTCCCCTCTTTCTAAAAATAAATAAATAAAATCTTTTAAAAAATAATTTTGAAGTTTTTCCTACTTGTCTACATTTTAAAACAGTTTAGCCTGGAGTCCTGGTTTTTTGCTTGTTTCTTTTTTTACATTTTTTATCTTCTTTTCAGACTGTTGTATCAAGGGCTAACTTCCAGGAAATAATTTTTTAAAGATTTTATTTATTTATCTTTAGAGGGTAAAGGAAGGAGAGAGAGAGAGAAATATCGATGTATGGTTGCCTCTTGTGCATCCCCTGCTGGGAACTGGCCTGCAATCCAGGCATATGCCCTGACTGGGAATCAAACCGAGATCCTTTGGTTCACAGGTCACGCTCAATCCACTGAGCTACACCAGCCAGGGCCTGGAGTCCTCTGTTTTTAAAGTTTCAGAGAATACTCTGGTGAAATTCCTGGGCCTTGTATATGTTTAGTGAGGAGAGTGAGAACAAGGGGGCTCTTTGCTCATTTCCTTGTTTTTATTTATATTTTATAAATCTTCTGTGGTTTGTTTTCATAATTTGTACTTTCTTATAAATTGATATATCTCACAGAGGTTTTCAAATTATTTTTTGCACCATCGAGCAAAATAAGCCTTTCTTTAAATTCACTTTGTAGTGAGTTACTTTCCCATTTTTTTCCCCTTACTAGCATACTTCTTCCTTATTATCTTGGTTACATTAGCTAATGTCTTCTCCATTTTTTTCCTTTTAAATAATTAACTTTTAGATTTAGTTAGTATTTCTTTTATTTTTTTTTCTGTTTCTTAATGCATTTGTTTCTAAATCTTGATCCTTTTTATCTTAAAGCTATGACTTACTGATATAAAAAACATTCTTGGGAAGAGCCATGTTTAAACTGTTGACGATCATTTAAATCTTAGGAAAAATAAATTTCTGATTATTTTTCAAAGCTAGGTTTTGCTAAAGGGAAGGGAGAATTATTAGTCCAGCAATTGCTTGAGTCCTAAAGAAAGGACGTAGCGACAAGTACAAGCACGGTGCTGCGGAGCACGGGGAGATACCGCCGTCCGCGTAACCGAGTGTCTCCTGCACCCACACATCAGGATTTGTCCCTCTCACCATCACACGATGCTTGACATTCCCAGGGAAAAAGGAAGTTAGTATTTATTGGAAAAGTGCTTAAATTTAAAAAAAACACTTGAATTAGCTACATAAATTATAAAACATAAGTCATGGTACCCTTTCTTTCTTGGCAGTAGAAATAAAGCAAAACCATGCAAACAGCTCTATGGAGAGGCCCAGAGCCAGCTGCAAATACTGCCAATCAGGCCGTTTTATTCACCCTGTGGAGGAGCTGCCTCAGAAGGGACAGGACAGATAGGTGACCAACGATGACAGCCCAAGGCTGCCTCAGGTACAGGTAGTCCTGTTTATCCCTGAGGGCCAGTCCCTCTTTCTTATGACCTCCTTCTCTTTCGGACAGCTGACCATCATCTTGTGTTTTTAAACACTTTTTACATACTTTTGTCTACTTGATTCTCATAACAAGCCTGTGTAATAGATTCCCCTCTGTCTCACATCTAACTGAACACAAGTCTGGATTTTTGGTTCGAAATGTGGGTCATGTCTTTCTTGTCTCTCTACTTGCAGGCCCTTTCTAAGTCAGGACTTTATTACCTCGTGCCCAGATTTCTGGGGTAGTTTCCTGTCATCGGGATGGGCTAGCTGTCATAAAACAAACAATTTTCAGTCCTCAGAAACACAACGCAAGTTTATTTCTTGTTCACATCACAGTTTAATGCAATGCATGGTTGGGGCCGGGCTGGGTAGAAAATATTCAGATATCCAGTTTCTATGAGACTGTGGTTCCACCAGACAAAACTAGAATGTAATATATAAGAATTTTCAATTTGTATCTTCCTTAAAGTCTATAAAATAAAAAATTAATATGAATTACAAGAACAAAAAATTTTAAATCAATATTTGGTTCATTGTCTTATTTTAATTCAGTATATAGTCTATGAATTATGCATATGTATATATGTGAGTATATATATATATATATATATAGAGAGAGAGAGAGAGAGAGAGAGAGAGAGATTTCATTCTTTCTTTATTCTCTATCAAGTGCAATGCCAGGTAATGTCCAATGTCCAGGTAGTCCCCACACTGCTCCATTGCTCTGCTTGAAGGTAAGATTTTCTAATTACCCCGGTGGGTCTCACAAGTTGCGGGCAAACAACAGAGGGCTTTCTTCTGTTGCTCTATTTTGTGCTGATTTATTAGTTGATTTTTAAATCTTTCCAAAACAAGCAGTATATAGCTAATTAATTGATTTCTAAAACTGTCACAGAGTGGGACCCCACTCAGATTACTAAAGTTTATGTTCATGGTCCTTATCTCCCTTCTGAGAAGGAGCTAGAAATCTTTTGCCTTGGTTAGAGATTCCTCCCTTAGGCCTAGGGCCTGCCAAACAATGCCACTTTTTAAGGAAACTCCTTCTTTGGTCCTCTTCCCTAAGTTAATTGAAGCCTTATGCCTTGGATATAAAGCAGATGATGCAACTTAATTATGGTACTAAAAATCTGTGCCAATGGTATCTTTGAAATGAAATGGAAGAGTGGCACCTCTTATTTTTATTTTCTTTTTTTTTTTAAAGATTTTATTTATTTATCTTTAGAGGGGAAGGGAAGGAGAGAGGGAGAGAAACATCAATGTATGGTTGCCTTTCATGCATCCCCTGCTGGGAATTGGCCTGCAGGGAACTGGTCTGCAACCCAGGCATGTGCCCTGACTGGGAATCGAACAGCGATTGTCTGGTTCGCAGGCCCGTGCTCAGTCCACTGAGCTACACCAGCCAGGGCTATTTTCATTTTTAGTCTTATTTATTTTTAATATATTTGCTTCTGAGCTTTTGGAAGTTTGTTTAATGGTAATACATGCATGATATACAAGATTCCAAATACACAAATGTAAATACTGATAAAATCCATCTTTCTGTCTGTCCCCCAAGCCCCAGTTCCAAGTAGTAGAGGTCACCCAGGTTACCAAAAGGTGGATTACCAGACAAGTATTCTTTATCTCACCATTTTCCCTCTCATCTACTATTTATTTTAGGCATTATTCCATATCAGTTTATAGTATGATATCTCATTCTATGTTATGTCTTGCATAATATCCATTGTACTGATGAAGAATTTTTTTTAACCAGCTCCTGGTTACCAAGGTTCTTAGGTTTCTAGTCATTTGCTGTCACAGACAATATGGCAATGAATACCTACGTGCCCATGTCCTTGAGTACTTGCTGCAGTTTGTCTTAGAATCTATTCTTAAAAATGAATGAGTTAGGCCAATGGTGTGCATCTGAATTTAATTTTGCTAGACATTACCAAACTGCCTCATTGGTAGAAGTTCTTCAAATGTGTTTTCCTGACAATCCCTGACACAGCTGATGCTTCTACCCTTGTGCCAGAACATTTTGTTTTTTGTTTGTTTGTTTGTTTTATCAATGTATGGTTGCCTCTCATATGTCCCCTGCTGGGACCCAGCCTGCAACCCAGGCATGTGCCCTGACTGGGAATCGAACTGCGATCCTCTGGTTCACAGGCCCGTGCTCAATCCACTGAACTACACCAGCCAGGGCTCAGAATGTTTTTTCAAAGTGTTTATCTTTACCATTGTTGTGGGTGAAAAACACTTTCTCACTGGCATCTTAATAAGCACTCCTCATAGGAGGGCATTGAGCATATATTTAAATGCTACTAATAAATTATATGACTATAATAAAGTGTCATAATAATTCTAAATGTCAGAAGTATGTTTTCAATAGAGTAATAATCATACTAATAATCATGATAATCATAGTAAGTAACAATCACACACCATTTGGTTTTAAACAGCAGCATCAGCCAGATGAAGACCATTGAACACCCTTCTGAATTTCCCCATTTCTTATTTCCAACAATATTAGCTGCTCTGAATTTTTGTTTGCAGGTGTTCATTTATGTCTTATAACACACATATGTATTCCCAAACTGT